AGGAGTCGTGTTCGTAGCCGTAGTAGTAGTAGTAGTAGTAGTAGTAGTAGTAGTAGTAGTAGTAGTAGTAGTAGTAGTAGTAGTAGTAGTAGTAGTAGTAGTAGTAGTAGTAGTAGTAGTAGTAGTAGTAGTAGTAGTAGTAGTAGTAGTAGTAGTAGTAGTAGTAGTAGTAGTAGTAGTAGTAGTAGTAGTAGTAGTAGTAGTAGTAGTAGTAGTAGTAGTAGTAGTAGTAGTAGTATAGTAGTAGTAGTAGTAGTAGTAGTAGTAGTAGTAGTAGTAGTAGTAGTAGTAGTAGTAGTAGTAGTAGTAGTAGTAGTAGTAGTAGTAGTAGTAGTAGTAGTAGTAGTAGTAGTAGTAGTAGTAGTAGTAGTAGTAGTAGTAGTAGTAGTAGTAGTAGTAGTAGTAGTAGTAGTAGTCATCGGTTGTTCGGTGGCCTGTGTTTTCGCACACGCGATGAGGGGGAGGATGAGGAGGAACACGAGGAGTAGGAGGAAGTGGGTGGAATAGGGAGGAGAAGGGGGAGGACGAGGAGGAGGCGAATGAGGAGGCGGAATGATAGGAGAGGCTGGTGCAGCGTGACAGGGATGGCGAAGAGGAGGAGGGAGATGACATTGGAGAGAAGAAGCTCCCTTCTTTCCGACACCTCCGGGGCTCTGCCACGAATGCAGGCCCATGGGACGATTACCTTTCAAGGTCGCACGTCCAGTTGTGAAAGGGAATGCTTGCACGGACATGTGAGGAGGGAGCATGGGACGGAAGGGTGCATTACAGCATCGTTCGTGCATTTTGGGCTTACTCTGAACTTCCTCTTCCTCGTCCTCCTCCTCCTCCTGATCCTCCTACGGGATGGTGCATTGCAGCATCGTTGATGCATCATGGCGTCACTCTGGATATCCTCCTCCTGCTCCTCATACGGAAGGGTGCATTACAGCATCATTGATACACCCTGGCTTCACCATGCACCTCCTCGTCTTCCTCCCCCCCATCCTCCTCCTCCTCCTCCTCCTCTTCCTCCTCCTCCTCCTCCCTCCCCTCATCCGCTCCCCCTCCTCCCCACAGCTTCCATCAACTTCGCCAGCCAAGGCTCCCAAACCATTGAAAAAACAATAAACCCAAAACAAACCCAATTAATCCCTGTGAGGGTCCCAAAAAACTCAAAAAACACAATCTGTTCGCTACTTTGTCGGTCTGGGGCTCGGGGGGCTGGGAATCCAAAAACATTGGAAAACCATTGAACATCAAAAAAACACAAAAAACATCCAATTAATCCCTGTGAGGGTCCCAAACATTGCTGTTGGTTGTCTGTGTTGTTTGGCTGCCATGCGTGTGTGAACCTCCCACGTGCGTTGAACCATGAGGAGGAGTATGATGATGATGATGATGATCATGATGATGATGACGATGATGATGATGATGATGATGATGATGATGAGGAGGAGGAGGAGGAGGAGGAGGAGGAGGAGGAGGAGGAAGGAGCAGTCGGAGATAACAGCACCAAAACCATTGAAAAACCAATAAACCCAAAACAAACCCAATTAATCCCTGTGAGGGTCCCAAAAAACTATAAAAAAACATAATCTTTTCGCTATTTAGTCGGTCTGGAGCTCGGGGGGCTGGGAATCCAAAACCATGGGGAAACCATTGAAAATCCAAAAAAATCCCCAAAACATCTAATTAATCCCTGTGAGGGTCCAAAAAAATTCAAAAAACCCAATGTTTTCATAATTTACTCGGCTTGGGTGGCCGGCCAGCCCCAGACAGACTAAGTTGCGAAATGATTGAGTTGTTTTAAGTTTTTTGGGACCCTCACAGGGGTTAATTTGATTGTGTTGGATTTTTTGGGATTTTCAATGGTTTTCCAATGTTTTTGGATTCCAACCCCCCGAACCCCAGGCCGACTAAGTAGCGAAACGATTGAGTTTTTTGAATTTTTGGGGACCCTCACAGGGATTACTTGGGTTTGTTTTGGGTTTATTGGTTTTTCAATGGTTTTGGAGCCTTGGCTGGCGAAGTTGATGGAAGCTGTGGGGAGGAGGGGGAGCGGATGAGGGGAGGGAGGAGGAGGAGGAGGAGGAGGAGGAGGAGGAGGAGGAGGAGGAAGAGGAGGAGGATGGGGGGGAGGAAGACGAGGAGGTGCATGGTGAAGCCAGGGTGCATCAATGATGCTGTAATGCACCCTTCCGTATGAGGAGCAGGAGGAGGATATCCAGAGTGACGCCATGATGCATCAACGATGCTGCAATGCACCATCCCGTAGGAGGATCAGGAGGAGGAGGAGGACGAGGAAGAGGAAGTTCAGAGTAAGCCCAAAATGCACGAACGATGCTGTAATGCACCCTTCCGTCCCATGCTCCCTCCTCACATGTCCGTGCAAGCATTCCCTTTCACAACTGGACGTGCGACCTTGAAAGGTAATCGTCCCATGGGCCTGCATTCATGGCAGAGCTCCGGAGGTGTCGGAAAGAAGGGCTTCTTCTCTCCAATGTCATCTCCCTCCTCCTCCTCGCCATCCCTGTCACGCTGCACCAGCCTCTCCTATCATTCCGCCTCCTCATTCGCCTCCTCCTCGTCCTCCTCCTTCTCCTCCCTATTCCACCCACTTCCTCCTACTCCTCGTGCTCCTCCTCATCCTCCCCCTCATCCTCGTTCTTCGTTTGGCACCCCATCTCACGGCATGTTGGACATATTTTGAGATAGTTGTTGTACAACATCTGTTTGGGGCGCTCTTGAAGGACGGACCCCCGAGGCGGCCCAAGCAGCGGAGCCATTGAGCAACAAATGGATTCGCAACACCGTTGTTCAAAAGCAAGCGTTTCGCTCTCCCTCTCCTTTTCCTCTCCCCTCCCTCCCTCGCTTCCGCAACCGTTTTGGCTCAAGAGATCCCTTGGAACATCGCGTATGCGAAAACACACAGGCCACCGAACAACCGATGGCCTAGTAGCAGTAATAGTAGTAGTAGTAGTAGTAGTAGTAGTAGTAGTAGTAGTAGTAGTAGTAGTAGTAGTAGTAGTAGTAGTAGTAGTAGTAGTAGTAGTAGTAGTAGTAGTAGTAGTAGTAGTAGTAGTAGTAGTAGTAGTAGTAGTAGTAGTAGTAGTAGTAGTAGTCGTAGTAGTAGTAGTAGTAGTAGTAATAATAGTAGTAGTAGTAGTAGTAGTCGTAGTAGTAGTAGTAATAATAGTAGTACTCCTAGTAGTAGTAGTAGTAGTAGTAGTAGCAGCAGTAGTAGCAGCAGTAGTAGTAGTAGTAGTAGTAGTAGTAGTAGTAGTAGTAGTAGTGGTGGTAGTGCTAGTAGCATTAGTAGTTGCTGTAGTAGTAGTAGTAGTCAGAGCAGCTGCAGCAGCGGCAGCAGCAGTAGTAGTAGTAGCATTCGCAGTCGTAGTCGTAGTAGTGGCCGTAGAAGTGGTAGTGGTAGTAGTCGTAGTAGTAGTAGTAGTAGTAGTTGTTGTTGTTGTTGTTGTAGTTGTTGTCGTGCTAGTGTTCGCATTTGTAGTAGTAGTAGTAGTAGTAGTAGTCGCAGTAGTAGTAATCGTGATAGTAGTAGTAATAATAGTAATAGTAGTAGTAGTCGGAGTAGTAGTAGTAGTGATAGTAGTAGTCGTCGTCGTAGTAGTAGTAGCAGTAGTAGTAGTCGTCGTAGTAGTAGTAGTAGTAGTAGTAGTAGTAGTAGTAGTAGTAGTAGTAGTAGTAGTAGTAGTAGTAGTAGTAGTAGTAGTAGTAGTAGTAGTAGTAGTAGTAGTAGTAGTAGTAGTAGTAGTAGTAGTAGTAGTAGTAGTCGTAGTAGTAGTAGTAGTAGTAGTAGTAGTAGTAAGTAGTAGTAGTAGTAGTAGTAGTAGTAGTAGTAGTAGTAGTAGTAGTAGTAGTAGTAGTAGTAGTAGTAAGTAGTAGTAGTAGTAGTAGTAGTAGTAGTAACTAGTAGTAGTAGTAGTAGTAGTAGTAGTAGTAGTAGTGGTAGTAGTAGTAGTAGTAGTAGTAGTAGTAGTAGTAGTATGTAGTAGTAGTAGTAGTAGTAGTAGTAGTAGTAGTAGTAGTAGTAGTAGTAGTAGTAGTAGTAGTAGTAGTAGTAGTAGTAGTAGTAGTAGTAGTAGTAGTATAGTAGTAGTAGTAGTAGTAGTAGTAGTAGTAGTAGTATAGTAGTAGTAGTAGTAGTAGTAGTAGTAGTAGTAGTAGTAGTAGTAGTAGTAGTAGTAGTAGTAGTAGTAGTAGTAGTAGTAGTAGTAGTAGTAGTAGTAGTAGTAGTAGTAGTAGTAGTAGTAGTAGTAGTAGTAGTAGTAGTAGTAGTAGTAGTAGTAGTAGTAGTAGTAGTAGTAGTAGTAGTAGTAGTAGTAGTAGTAGTAGTAGTAGTCGTAGTAGTAGTAGTAGTAATGGTAGTAACCGTAGTAGTCGTAGTAATACGAATAATAATGGTAATCGTAATGCTAATTGCCAGAATGGCTGCCAGGCCCCCGTGGAAAGCTGGTCTGAATCTTCTCCCGCAGGGGTGCAAATTGTAACCTAGTCAGCCAGGATGCGCAACGCGCGGTGATGTTCGCGCTCTCGCCAAAGAACATGGCGTCGCATTTCTTTCACGCCAGGCGTCCTAGCCTGGTTTCGGACCTCGAGGCGTCGCCAGGGAGTCCCACGCCATCCCAAGAGACCCGCGATCTTCGACACATTGTTTCTGCCGCTGTGTGTCTACCGAGATCTGACGGGAGGTCAACATCTCGAAACTTCGGTCCCTTCCCCGAGGGTAGTCGGAGATCTGGTAACGGGATGTGTGGCGACCCCAATCCCCGACTTTGCATGGTTTTAGACTGGACCAGCGAGATATTGATGGGGGCGGCGTCAATCTTAGATAGGGGTGCGTCCGCACAGCCCCGGGGGGGTTGTACCTCCGAGATTCCCATTTGCCTGCTCTGAGCGACCATCATTGTTCTGGGGGTAACTCGAGGACTGGGAGCGAGAAATCGGCCAGGACCTGGCCTCTCGAATCCTCGACTTCCTTGGAACTCTCCGGCGGGGGCCTGCAAGCCGGTCACGCACTCCGAGCCGCAGTAGCGCGCGGCGACCTGCCGGAGGACTTCCAGCGCCTCCTCCTGCGGACACGGGTGGGGGCGCTCTGATGGAGGCCTCCCACATGGGGCCGGCGTGCGCAAGAGGGGTCGGAGAATAGCACCGCATCTCAGATGCATCGCCGATGCAATGCATCGGCGATGTGGCGCGATCCTCCGACATCCTCTACTTTAGCCCCAGTTGGGAGTCCTGGACACATACAGGCAGGTCCGCGGTCGTCGCCGTCGTCGTCTTCGTCGTGGTCGTCGCCGTCGTCATCGTCATCGTCGACATCGCCGCGGACGTCGTGGTCGCCGTCGCGGTCTTCGTCGTCGTCCTCACCATCGTCATCGTCGTCACGGTCATCGTCGTTGCAGTCACCGTCGTCGACCGCCTCCTGCGGTCAGGAGGCCTCTTTGCAGCCAGGGCCAGAGACGCGTTCGAGAGGATGGAGTCGTCGTCGTCCTCCTCCTCCTCCCTCTCCTCCTCCTCCTCCTCCCCCTCCTCCTCCTCCTCCTCCTCCTCCTCCTCCTCCTCCTCCTCCTATCCTGCTTTCCTGCTTTCCTGCCAGTAGCTCCTCGTCGCGACCACCAGCCGCGTTGGCGGGGCGGGCCAGGCGCCTCGCCTGAGAACTACTGGCCCTTGTCGATCCAAACGCGACAGAAGTTCGGCAGCCACACGGAGGGAGGGCAGGTGGTCTCCTGAACTTGGCCCTCGCCGCAGCGCCGCGCACACTCGTTTCAAAAGGTTGCAACAACTGCCCATATGCTGCGCGGGCCATGTCCAAGATGTAGCTCCAGCCTGAGCGCCGCGCACATTCGTCTTAATAGCTTGCACCTCCTCCTCCTCCTCCTCCTCCCAGAAGTTTCGACGATGGAAGGCCAATCCTTCTCGGTGCTGGGCCCTGTTGCCTCCGCGCCGCGCTCGGTTATCCGGAAGCAGAAGACAGCGCGCGAGAACGCAGAGCGGTTCCTCTTGAGAGATGCGCTCCTGCTCCATTCGAACAAGCACCTCACATGCTTCAGAGCCACGCTTTGAGAGAAGTGCAAAAACTCTATGGATCGATGGCGGTTGCTTTTCAAGACTGGGCTCTCGTGGCTAGCTGATCTTGCTTCATGTCCCGATGGGAGCGGCCCCTGTTCAGAATGGGACTCTCACTGGACACCTTGTGAGCTTTTTGATTATAGATCTTGGATCTTGTCTTCGGTATAAAGACGGATGGCGGTGTGCCTCCAAAACGGCGCTCTCGCTTGAATGGAAAGCCCATGGAACGCTCGCTGTTCAAGGGGCACCCCCAACCTGCAGGGACTTATGCCGAGGGAACTTGGAACGAGAAATTACAATGCAGCATCGTTGCCGTATCCTGGGCTCACGCTCGTCCTTCTCATCAACGTGCCCCCCCCCTCCCCTCCACGCCGCCCTCCCCCTCTCCCCCCAAGCGATCGCGGCACCAGGAAGGCATTTGACGTTTCTCCACTATTTGGGGCCCCCTGGGGTGGCCTCGACGGCACTTCGCACTTCTGGACTCGTCTCGAAATCCTCTTCGTCTCCTCCTCCTCCTCGGCCTCCTCCCTCTCCTGCTTCTCCTCCTCTCCCCTCCTGCCCTTCTCCTCTTCTCCCTTCTTAGTGCCAGATCCGCCCCGAAGCCCTGGTCAGAAAGCGCTCAAGGAGAGATCCGAGGGGGGTCGGCTGTTGGATTGGGCTCACGTGTCAAGCGCGGGGAGGCAACGCGCTGGATACACCGCCCTGTGGGAAGAGGAGGAGGAGGAGGACGAGGAGGAGGAGGGCCAACATACCCACCAAGACGAAGGTCGAGCGCGGGAGAGACGTGCAGCCCCATTGCGCATCTCCTCCTCCTCCTCCTCCTCCTCCTACTCCTCCTCCTCCTCCTCCTCCTCCTCCTCCTCCTCCTCCCTCCTCCTCTCCTCCTCCCTCCTCCTCCTCCTCCTCCCACCTCCTCCTCCTCGTCCTCCCATCTCGTCCTCCTTCCCTCCCTTCCCCTTCTGCCTCCTCCCGTCCTCCTCCCCCCTAGGCCGGTCGCGCCATGTACTTCCAGCTTCCTTGTATGATCTCGGCCTGACGGTGAAGGCGCACACAAACGCCAAACTGTTCAAATGCATCGTCTGTCCGATCTTCCGCTGTTTCGCGGGCGAGGGACGGTATAACAGAAACTCTTCCTGTCCCAAGGCGGCTGGACAAAATGATACCCAGAGGCTGCCGCCATGGGGGTAAAAAACATGAAAGCCGCCTAGGGGCACCCGATGGCAAAACATATGACGTCATACCACTATGTACCCGCTAAGCTGCGGTAGGTTCTAGAATCAAGCTTTTCATGCACCCTCTTTGCTCCAACATTGTTTCGCCGCCGGACTCGGTGCGACCACTTTCGGGGGCAGGCGATACGGGGACCATCGAATCAACGACGACGAGGCCTGTCCTCGGAACGCTCTCAGGATCAAGGCCCCGTAACTGGAGACTCTGAGAAAGCAGGGTATTGGCGCACAGGGGGAATTTACAGCCGCTGGTCGAAGGGTTCTCCACCCTTCGCTCTCTCTCTCTCTCTCTCTTTTTCTCTTATTGGGCCTGCCAAAGTTCTGGCTTGCAGCCCTGTCAGGAAGGCATGAGATGCAGCTTAGTTTCCTCTGTCGCATTTGAAGGCTTTGGGTGGATGCCAAAATTAATTTGCGGATCTCGGCGCCCTGGTTCGAACCGAAAAACGGCACATCTCAAACGGCTCTTTGCTGGTTCGACTAGCCGCCTCGAAAACCAGCAGTTCAAAACAAGTTGCTCAAACCCACTGACTTGACAGTCCTCATCCGAGTGGATCCTCGCCTTTCGAGGCCTGCTACATGGGATCCCATAAGAAGTGGGTCGGAGGATCACGCCGCATCGCCGACGCGTCGGCAATGCATCCGCGATGCATCGGCGACGTCGGCGATAGATCGGCGACGTCGGAGTGGAGAAAATCGGGCACCACAACAACGAGCTGCATCGCCGACGCATCAGCGATGCGGCGCGATCCTCCGACCCGAATCTGCTCAGACTCCATCTGGGAGGACTGGCGCCCCGGCCTCGTCTTGCGCTGGCTTCTGGGGCCCTGGCTCGCAGCTGGCGGGCACTGCCTGGGACGCCCCGTGGCGCCTGTCCGACACACCCTCGGGATGAGCACAAATTAGGGGCTGACACCTACCCCCCACGATTCCTGAAGGGGATGGTGGCGTTCACTTCGTTCGGGAGCTCCCGAGCGAAGTGAACCCCACCCTCCCCCTCAGAAGTCGTGGGGGGTAAGGGTCGGGTTCGCATGTGGCCCCCTACAAACCGTCCCAGACGAGCGTGCCGGCCCGCTCCCAGAGCGTTCCGGAGCGCTCGGGGACCAGCCGCAGCGCCCGGGCCTGCTGGCTTTCGGGGATTCCCGACCACCTCTCGGCGGCGACAATAGGGGCGAATAGCCCACGGGCGGGCATTACACGTAATTATTCGCACGGGAGCCTCGCCGACGACATGAGTCATCCGCGCCCCTGGATACATGCATTGCTCCCCCCTGGGCGATTCGCCCCTATCGTCGCCTCCGAACTTACGGTCGAAGACTTTTGCTGAGCGTGTCGCGGCGGCAGCCCCGGCGGCACGCTGTGCCTTGCGAGCGGATGGCGTGTCGCTCCGCTCCGCGGTGCGGGAGGTTGGGGAAGCCTCGGGACGCCATTGACTCTCTGGGACCTTGACCGTGCCGTGGATGGCGTGTCGCGTCGGAGCGTGGTGGGCCAGGACCGGCGGAGCGACACGCTAAGCCAAAGTTCCTGACCGTGTGCTCGCCCCGGCCTCGTATGGCCCTGGCCTCTGGGTGAGGGACAACGATAGGGGGGGACAAGCACAGGGGGTGATGCATCGACCTGGAATCGGCCATTCTCGTCGATCGTCGCCGATAGATCGGCGATAGGCCCCCGATAGTGAGTCCGCACCTTCCTGTGCAGGTTGGGGCTATCCCCTATCGGCGATTAAAGGGCGATTGGGGTCTTTTTCCTCGGCTCAGGCTCCTCACAACCCATTCAACGAGCGACTTGTGAGCAATGGATCGAATGAAAATACCTAAAGGTATCCCCACCACTCCTGGCTCGGACGAATAGGCCAAGGAGTGCAAATCCTAATCTTCTTCGGCCAAGGAAGAAAACCTCGCCGAAGCAGACTGAGCTGCTTAGGCTTTCCGACAGTGCAATCTGACTGTAACTGCTGCCCCCCCTATGCCTACCCCCCTCGATCGTTGCCCCCCCCGGCTGGGGCCCTGGCTCGCACCCGGCGGGCACCGTACGGGACGCCCCACGGCGTCTGCCCGGCAGGCCCGCGGTCCTCCCGCCCTGGCGCCGCCCCCCGCGGTCCTGGCGCCAGGACCTCCAGGACCAGCCCCTCCAGGCGCGGCCGCAGGGCCTCTCCGAGCTCTCCCCGCCAGGGTTGCCGTGCAGGTCCAGCAGCACCTGCAGGCCTGGGCGGGGAGGGGGGCAGGCGACGACGACGACGACGACGGCGACGACGACGGCGACGGCGACGACGACGACGGCGACGACGACGGCGACGACGGCGACGACGGCGACGACGACGGCGACGACGACGGCGGCGGAGGAGGCGTGACGGCGGCGGCGGCGCCGCCGCCAGAGGCGCCCGCCCGCTGGGGGGAGCCCAGCGCCGACCCGAGAGATTCGCGCGGACCTCCGAGCGTCCGCGCTCATGCCATCTGCCCCCCGCGATTGTCTCGCGGATGCCATGACAAATGGACACCCTGACAATCCGACCGCTGAATTCACACACGGGCTTATTTAACGTGTCGGGAACAGGCTCTGACCATGCTCAAGACATGTGCTTTTCCTACTTGTTGAAGGCATGTTTCAAGCCTGTGATGGGCATCCGGAAACTCTTTGGCAACGTGCTGCTTCTCCACTGATCGTCGTCCACAGCAACATGCTGCTTCTCCATGGATTGACTCCGAGGGTGTCTGTGTGTTTTTCCCCCTCCTGAGAGGGGCCTGCCGCGCGCGCCCGCTCGACAACCTGGTCCAGCACGCCCAGGGCGGGGCCGACGAACGGGTCGCCCAACGTCGGGCCCGTCACCACCCAGTAGCCGAACGGCACGCGCACGGCGTTCAGCCCTCGGCTGGCGATCTCCGCGAGGGTGCTCTCGCCGAAGTGCGCGAGCCGGTGGCTCTCGAAGGCCTTCCTCTTGCCCTCCTGTTTGCCAGCTGGGGAGCCCGGAGGGGCACGCCTTGACCTCGTCCCTCCCCGGGCCTCTCTCCTACCTTGATCTCTTCATCTCTTCCTGCTCCTCGTCCTCCTCCTCCTCTTCCTCCTCCTCCCCATCTTCCTGCTACCGCTTCTCATCCTCAACTTCATCCACCTCAACCACCACTTCCTCCTCCTCTCCCTCGTCCTTCTGCTCCTACTCCTCCTCCTCCTCCTCCTCCTCCTCCTCCTCCTCTTCCTTCTCCTCCTCCTCCTCGTCCTCCTCCTCCTCCTCCTCCTCGTTCCTATTTGGGGATGCCAACGCGCTGCGACGACAGACCGTGAGGTGATCTCGAAATCCCGAAAGTCCTCACCGCACGGTCCGTCACCGCATGGTTTGGGAACCTTGGAGGCCCCAGTCGCCCGATACGTCCCCGGAGAACGACTCAATTCCCAAAACTGTGCGGCCATCCCGAATCCTCAGAGACTCACCCGATGTTGCCGTCACCGTACAAGTTTGGGACTTCCGATTGTTTTGTGGAAGCCGACCGGGGCCTCGAGGGCTAGGGATATAACCAGACCTCCTTCTGCACGCGAGCGAGCCTTCTGGATGATCGAACAGGTCGAAGCAAGAGGGCTGAGCAGAGGGCCCAGAGCCAACAATAATCCAGAGCCTCTGGTCCGAGGGGGTGATCCAGGGATGGTGGGCCTCAGCCTCACGGATGGAGGGACGGTGCTTGGGCACCGCGCTGCCGAAGGGCCGTCCTGCCGCAACGAGCCCTCCAGGCCTTCTGCCCATCTGCGGTCCTTGACCGCCCTCCTCGCCCGAACGGGCCCCGAGCATCCCGACAGCCTCTCGAGAGCCTCCCGAGACCTCTGGGGCCAGAGCAGGATGGGGGGGTGAGCGGAGGACAAGGAGGACGATGAAAACTGGGAGGAGGCGGGGGAGAACATACTGCAGCATAATTCTCGCGCGTTTCCCTGTCGCAAGCAGGCCACACCGCGTGAGGCGGGCATCTGTCCCTATCTCACCTGTGGCAGGACGCAACGGCCCCATGGCTCCTGGTCCGGGCAACGCAAAAGGGGGGAGCTGTGAAAGCAGGAGCTGGATGGGGGAGAACGTGATGCCCGCGAGTGGGCCCTGGCCGACCAGCAAACGCCGTGGACGACCATGGTGTCATTACGGACGCGGTGTCTCGGGAGAGGCGCGCTCCCTGGAGGCACACAGGCTGACCAAGAAACGGGAAACAGGCGGAGGTCACGCCCAAGATGCACCTGCGGAAGCCCGGCGTGCCCGGCCAGAGAAGGGCCGAACGCTGGAAAGACATCTGGCGACACGTGTATACAGCTCTCGCCCGGGCCGCGTCATGTGCATTGGGCTTCCTGGTTGAGGTGTTGGAGGGGGGGAGGACGACAACGTGGCCGAGGATGGGGAGGAGCAGATGAGGAACACGACGACGACGACGATCACGACGAGCACGACGACGACGACGACGACGAGGACGAGGACGAGGACGACGACGAGGACGGCGACGACGAGCACGAAGACGAGGACGAGGACGACGACGAGGGCAGGTCGCCCCCCCTCTCCTCGCCCAGCGTTTTTGTCAGGTGTTCGCACAACGACCACTCGTCGTGGCAGGCGTCCGCGCCGTGGGCCTGGGAGAGGAGGGCGTTCTGCCTTATCTCTGCTCTCCCGAGGGGGACGGGAGGGGCTGGCTACCCAGGCGCGTTCGCGCCGCATCTGGTGCCATGCCTCCCCCCCCCATCCCCACTGCGCCGATCTGTTCTCTATCCGCCGGAGGGCGTCCCAGCGGGCCTGGAAGCGCCTGGATAACCCCGTCGCGTCATGCGCAATCAGCACGGGCAGATGGGTAACTGCATTGAAGGTGGGATGGTGGTGGGTTAGCCAGAAGATGGATGAGCAGGAATAACAGGATGTGAGACGAAGCAAAGGCAAAGGCGCATAGGGGGCAACCCGCAGATTCCCACTGCAACAAATCTAAGCCCCAGCGAACTATATGGAAGCGTGGCGGGGGCAGCGCCCCCCAGGACCGCCTGGGGCGCCGCCTGGCCCAGTCAGAAACAGCGGGGCAGGCGTGCCCCGCCGCAGGAGGGCTTCTTACAAAAGACAGCATTCCTAAACAGAAAGGAGGGCGCCGCTGACCTCTATTGAGGTGGAGCAACGCCCTCAAGACTAGGGGGCACTGCGCGACCTACTCGAAGGAGGGGGGAAGCAAGCACGGGGGGCCGCGCCCTGGCGACCGCGCAGACCACGCTCTGCGCCTCGGCGCCCTCAACCATTTGCGGCCCTCCAGAAAGGAGGAGGGAGAGAAAGAAGACGCACGCCAACGCACTCACTCGCACAACAAGAAAGAGAAACACATTGAGCCGTCTGGGAGGAGACCCCTCACCTGTTTTTCCCCACATGTTTCGTGGGGTTATGGTTTTCTTCCCTGCCGCGCCGCACCCGCGTCTCACCCGCACACCTCCCTCTCCGTCTCTCTCTCTCTCTCTCTCTCACACCTCACTCTTCCCCTCCTCCTCACGGCACTGCTCAGCACAGCTCAGCTCAGCTCAGCTCAGCACAGCTTAGCGCAGCTCAGCTCAACTCAGCTCAGCTCAGCACAACTCACCGCAGCACAGCACAGCACAGCACAGCACAGCTCACCGCACAGCAGCACACAGCACAGCACAGCACTGCTTCTGGTTCCCCACATGTATCGTGGGGTTCTGGTTCCCCACATGTTTCGTGGGGTTATGGTTTTCTTCCCTGCCGCGGCGCACCCACGTCTCCTCACACCTCCCCTCCTCCCTCTTCTTCCTCTCCTCACCCGCGCTCAACACATGCACGGCAAGTACATGGCACACGCGTCTACATACAGCCGCACGCATGCACACATTCGCACACACACACACACACAACACACACATACACACACCATACAACGCTAGTGCGCGCCTGGCGTGTTCACTGCATCACACATCCACGACGCGTGCGCCACACAGCGTGGGCACCCACATGAGACACGTCCCGATATGGCCGCTATGCACGACGGTCGTCCAGGCATAGCAGGCGTGGCACTTCCTCGACACCAAAGGGGGGGTGCGCTGGGGGTGGGGACACTATGCGTTTCGGGCTCGCAATGCGTGGCAAGCGTGGCACTTCCTCGACACCAGAGGGGGTGCGCTGGGGGTGGGGGCCCTATGCGTTTCGGGCTCGCAAAGCGTGGCAGGCGTGGCACTTCCTCGACACCAGAGGGGGTGCGCTGGGGGTGGGGGCCCTATGCGTTTCGGGCTCGCAAAGCGTGGCAGGCGTGGCACTTCCTCGACACCAGAGGGGTGCGCTGGGGGTGGGGGCCCTATGCGTTTCGGGCTCGCAAAGCGTGGCAGGCGTGGCACTTCCTCGACCCAGAGGGGTGCGCTGGGGGTGGGGCCCTATGCGTTTCGGCTCGCAAAGCGTGGCAGGCGTGGCACTTCCTCGACACCAGAGGGGGTGCGCTGGGGTGGGGGCCCTATGCGTTTCGGGCTCGCAAAGCGTGGCAGGCGTGGCACTTCCCGACACCAGAGGGGTGCGCTGGGGGTGGGGGCCCTATGCGTTTCGGGCTCGCAAAGCGTGGCAGGCGTGGCATTCCTCGACACCAGAGGGGGTGCGCTGGGGGTGGGGGCCCTATGCGTTTCGGGCTCGCAAGCGTGGCAGGCGTGGCACTTCCTCGACACCAGAGGGGGTGCGCTGGGGGTGGGGGCCCTATGCGTTTCGGGCTCGCAAAGCGTGGCAGGCGTGGCACTTCCTCGACACCAGAGGGGGTGCGCTGGGGGTGGGGGCCCTATCCGTTTCGGGCTCGCAATGCGTGGCAGGCGTGGCACTTCCTCGACACCAGAGGGGGTGCGCTGGGGGTGGGGGCCCTATGCGTTTCGGGCTCGCAAAGCGTGGCAGGCGTGGCACTTCCTCGACACCAGAGCGGGTGCGCTGGGGGTGGGGGCCCTATGCGTTTCGGGCTCGCAAAGCGTGGCAGGCGTGGCACTTCCTCGACACCAGGCGTGGCACTTCCTCGACACCAGAGGGGGTGCGCTGGGGGTGGGGGCCCTATGCGCTTCGGGCTCGCAATGCGTGGCAGGCGTGGCACTTCCTCGACACCAGAGGGGGAGCGCTGGGGGTGGGGGCCCTATGCGCTTCGGGCTCGCAAAGCGTGGCAGGCGTGGCACTTCCTCGACACCAGAGCGGGTGCGCTGGGGGTGGGAGCCCTATGCGTTTCGGGCTCGCAAAGCGTGGCAGGCGTGGCACTTCCTCGACACCAGAGGGGGAGCGCTGGGGGTGGGGGCCCTATGCGTTTCGGGCTCGCAAACCGTGGCAGGCGTGGCACTTCCTCGACACCAGAGGGGGTGCGCTGGGGGTGGGGGCCCTATGCGTTTCGGGCTGGGGGTCCCCGGGGCGAAGGCGGGCGCCCCCCGTACACCACTGATGATGCCCGAGGACCCGTCGACCACTTCCCTCTGCACGTCGCGGTCGGGCGACACGAGGGTGACCTCACTCGGACGGGTCAGCATCGGCCTCTGATTCAATCGCTGGAGTCCCAGCGGGGGCATCTCGTCTCCACACGCAGGATGTAGGCCACCAAGTCCACGACGATCAGCACGGCGGCGACGGTCGCAGCAACCATCCGTCAAGTTGCTGACTTGGCTGATCCCGATGCCCAAGGCGTGCGCCGCGTCGGTGGTCGCCCAAGTCCACAACGCCGGGGGCCCCGCCCGCTCCGCGCCGGAACCCTGGCAGGGGGCCCCGAGCGGTCGCGAGGCGCTCCCGGGCAGGCGCGGCACGGCAGCACCTCCAGGCCCGCGCAGTGGCAGCCCGAACTCGCCGGGCTCGGGCAGCTCGAGACCCCATGCGCCTGCTGGGTGATCGCGCTGGATGCCCTCGGGGGGACTTTCCTCCCTCCGAGGAAAACAGCTCGAACGACAATGTCAGCGGCCACCCGTGACACCAGTGAGCAACCCCGTTCAATGAACAATTCAGGAGGAGCGAAGAGAAGGAAGAGAAGAAGAAAGATGGGGGAGAAGTGGGCAGAAGAAGAAGAAGAAGAAGGAATAAGAGCCTGAGGCGGGGAGGAGGAGGCGGGCGGAGGATGGGGAGGGAGGAAAGGGGGGAGGAGGAGGATGCGTTCTGGCGACCCCCGGGGCGGCCGAGAACAGGGGCGACGCGGGCCCGGGCTCCAGGAGCAGCAAGCCCCCCAGGTTGGCGCCGCGCCACCGCTCCTGGGCCCAGTGCGCCTGGTGAAAGCTCTGCACCAGCTGGGCAAGCTCCTGGGGGCCAAGACAATACTCCAAGTCTCCTCCCTCCTCCCTCCCTCCCTCCCTCAATTGCTCCCTCTCTCCTCCTCTTCCTTCCCCCCCCTCCTTCCTACCTCGCTTCTTCCCTCCTCCTCCCCTCTTCCTCCCTCCCTCCCTCCCTCCTCCTTTTCCTTCTTGGCGCGTTGGGACGGTCGGAAGCGACCGCGGCCGCGCGCGGCCTTGGCGGGACCCTCCTGACCGAGGCAGCCACGGCAACATCGGCGCGCCGATATGCTTCCGACGATTGAACATGTTCACGCCCTCACTTTCACCCTGCGTGGTCAGCAAACACCAGGCACACCTTGTCCTTTGCCTCCTCCTCCTCCTCCTCTCCTCCTCCCTCCACCCCGTCCTTAAAACTAGCTCATCCCTGTCACATCACCAGACATGATGGTAGGGTGGGCCAGGCGCTTCGTCTGGAAGTTCCCAATCGTTTGCTAGATTGCAACTTGAAATTTACGACACTTCAATGGATGAAAGCCGGATCATTTTCAAAACGGGGCTCTCGCTTTGGCGCCGCGCGCACTCGTCTTCAAAACTCACAGCTACACGGATAGCGAGCCAGTCGTGTTCAAGACGGGGCTCTCGCCTTGGCGCCGGGCGCGCCCGTCTGAGCCCAAATCCAACTCCTGCGCGAAACAAAAGCAAATCGTGTCCCACCGGGCCCTCCCAGCGGGGTCCGCCCTGATCCGTTACAGTCGGGGCGTTGACCTAATGAACCCTAAATGAAGAACGATGCCCCTTCTTTCCAAAAGTTAGATTTCGACCGCCCATGGACGACCTGAGGACAACCTAAGGCAAGCTGTGCAACAATCAAGGCACACGGAGCCCTCCCCAACGAGAATCCTGCGACGACGAGCTTCCAGGGAGGGCCCGGCGCACGGTTTCCCCCGGGGCCGTAGGCGGCCCGAGGAGGAGGAGGAGGAGGAGGAGGAGGAGGAGGAGGAGGAGGAGGAGGAGGTGGAGAAGGGGGAGGGGGAGGGGGAGGAGGAGATAGAGGAGGAGGAGGAGGAGGAGGAGGAGGAGGAGGAGGAGGAGGAGGAGGAGGAGGAGGAGGCGGAGGAGGCGGAGGAGGAGGAAGAGGAGGAGGGGTCGCCTAAGCCCTTCGGAGAAACCCTCCAGGGCCCAGGAGACACGCAGAGCGCCAGGAAGGGCCGCCGCTGCCTCGCCGGGCCCCCTTGCGAGACGGGCCCTCTATCGGCCCCCGTCGCCCTCCACCAGCGCCCCGCGCCCGCCGGCCGTCGCGACCTGCACGGACCCCCAGTGGGCCCGACTGGGGGCCACCGCGGACACCAAACCAGTAAGAGCTGGAAGCGACCAATACCACTGGATAGTGCCACGATTTTGGCTTAGTCCTGGATCCCATGGAATGGCACCTAAGTCGGAGCTCTTCTGGCCCGGGTCAATCCAGACCCGGGCCACTCGGGCCTCGCAGGATCCCGCAGACTCCCGCAGGATCCTGCAGGGCCCTGCGCCCAGACCCAGGTCGGCGCGCCCCTGGCCCCGCAGGATCCCGCAAGATGCGGCGCCCTGGCGGACCCCCGCTTGCATCGACCCCCGTCGTCTCTTGCGCCCGAGGAGGAGGAGGTGGAGGAGGAGGAGGAGGAGGAGAAGGAGGAGGTGGAGAGGAGGCGGAGCAGGAGGAGGAGGAGGAGGAGGAGGAGGAGGAGAGGAGGAGGAGGAGGGAGGAGGAGAGGAGGAGGAGGAGGAGAGAGGAGGAGGGAGGAAGAGGAGGATGGGATGGATGCAGGATGGAGGATAGAGCGACCCGGGCTCCCGCTCCGCGCTCCGGGCGTCGCCCTCCGCGAGCGCGGCGACGTACCTCCCGCATGCCGCGGCCAGCCGCGCGAGGGCGGCCGGCCCCTGCGGCGCGCCGGAGGCCGCCGCCGCCGCCGCCCAGGGCTGCGCCACGACGGCGCCGAGCGCCGCGGCCGCGGCGGACTCGGCCACGCCCGCCAGCCACTGCAGGCCAGGGTCTTCTCCTCTCGCGACGGGAGGAAGTTGGTCCTAAAAGCAAAGGCGTCCTGAAAATTTGAGGGGGCCCTGGGACACGCAAGCAAATAGACACAACTCACACCGCATCTTTTGGGTTTTTGACACTTCCCATTGTTTCCCAGATTTTCTAGGCGAATCGACGATTCATTGTGTCTGTGTGATTTCTACCCTCCTGCAAAAATGGTTGCTCGCCGCGCTCGGGCCACGGAAGCCCTGGGACCGCCGCGGCCCGCCTCTGCAGGCCCTCTCGCGACGGGAGGAAGAGCGTCCGGCAAGGCAACACTGCGTATCGTTTAACCGATCCCCATCCCCAGCGGCGTGGCCTGGGCCCTACTGGCCGAATTCCCCTTTAGATGGGAATATAGGCTCCCCCCTTCGGGTTTCGAGGGGTGTATCCCCAACTGGGGGGATAATTCGGTGGGGGCCTCGAAAAGGATAGGGATGGGGATGGGGGGTCGGATAAACAATACGTTTCTTGTCTAGTAGGGTACCGCTCTTAAAATCTTGTCAAGACAGCGAAGCTTGCAACGTGGAGCGCGACACGGACACAGCACACAGAGCGAAGTGACGCGGGCGAAACAGGCCGGCCTCGAGGAGGCAAGCACCGAGCAGGCCCCTCGACACTGTAAAAGGAGAAGCTTCAAAGGAATTCGCACAGTGAGAAAGCACAAGGCTGGCGGAAGGGCAGGCCACGGGTGCACTCGAACGGAAGATATCGCGGAACCACCAAAGAACACCGTGCGGAACACTCCAATGTCTAGTAGGGTACCGCTCTCAAAATCTGTTCAATGCAGCGAAATTTGTCTCGAGAAACGCGGCACGGAGACAACGCGCAGAGCGAAGTGACGCGGGCGAAGCAGGCCGGCCTCGCGGAGGCAAGCACCGAGCAGACCCCTCGACACGGTAGAAGGTAGGAGCCCAAAATCACTCCCGAAACAAGGTGTGTGCTCTCTGGCTAGAGGCGGACACTAGCACTGCGGCAAGATCACGGCAAACTTTTAGGATATGGTTTAGCTACTTTGGCCCACGGAGCATGTCTGGCCGGATGGGGCCCTGTCAACCCGATGTGCGGCAAACCCGAATACGAGCAGACCCCACGTGTGTGGCATAGGCGGCAAGTCAAATGTTGAATCGCACTGGCATGAAAGAAGTGAGCGCGCTGGCGCCATCTTGTTCCATAGCTACAGAAGTCTAGTGTCGCCTCAAAGGCGCTTCGGGTCGCGCGACGGCGACGCGCGGGGGTCTTCCACATCATACTGCTAGAAGGGTTCTCGAGAAACCATGGGACCTGGCAAGCGTCTAAGCTTTTGATAATTCGCAATGTTGCCCTGAGGAGTCTCTTACCTCGCGCAAGGGCGGCGTGGTCCTTATCGATGAAAACGAATATGTCCACCGCTCCCCAGAGCTTGTCAGAGGTACGAACGAAACGAGGTCGCATCCGAGAAATTGAAAAGCTAGCAAATTCGGTTGCACCCGCCGCTCCCAATGTGAACCCTTGTTTGGAACCCTCTGAGATGCGACGCTGCACTTTGGGATTGGTAGGGCCGAGACGAGGGTCATATCTGAGATCCCACAATCGATCAGCATATCCACGAGGAGACACAGCCCTGCCGACGCCGCCCTCACCGCGGAAGCAATCCGCAACATAGGGGCGGTGACCTTTGCGACCTGGAGCGGCGCGGCGGCCGCGTGGCCGAAGAAGAGCGCCTCTAAGCGCTCGTGGGCCCTCTTGAACTCCGCGGCCTGCCAAAGCTGCAGGCGCGCCGCCGACGCGTTCAGTCTGGCGGCGTTCTCGTACCGCTTGAGAGAGCTCTCGCGCTGCCACCCGCCCCTCTTCTTCAGCTCGAGGTGGTCGCGGTGGCGGCCCTGGAGGTCCAGCGAGGCTCCTGAGTGGCGGCGCTGGTGCAGCGCGAGATTGCCCAATTGCAGCCACTCTCGCGTCCGGTTGAACTCGGTCACGAGTTCGTGGCTGCTGTGCTGGAAGAGCCGAGACTCTGGGGGCCCGCGTGCCAGGGCTGCGATCGCCATCTGCAGCTACGGGTACATCTAGCTTGTCAAGCTGATGCCCTCGTCCAAGTCTGATTCTTTCTCGTGGCCGCCCTCGCGCCAGGGGAAAGGAGCACGGCCCAGTCACTCGATCCGCTCTCCACTGGCGGGATCAAATCCTAGCCGCGGCAGCAAAGGTCCTACACCGCAGCAGACCAGATCACGCGCACGACTGGGTTGCGGGACCGCCGCCCACAGCGGCGCCTCTATCCCTTGAGGCAGCGCCGGGCCCAGGGGCGTCGGGATCCCCCCAGCTTCCCATGCTGCGGCTGGACACGCAGCAGCGCCGACAGCAGGACGTCCCCTCTGTTGGAGTTGCGTCCACCTCCGTAGAGCTCGTCCATGTAGAGCACGAGCGCATCGTCCACCTCGTGCCCGCGACGAGCGGGCGCTCTCCCGCGGCCTCCACGAAGGCCTGCAGCTCCACCTGGCACTTGGTCTCCGTCCCCTGTCTCACCGCCGAGCGCTCCAGGAGCGAATGGCCCGCGAATGTAGGAGACGCCCGCGCCCCGGCCACGGCGGCGGCTCGGTGCTTTGCAGTCTGGCGCAGCCGGCGAGTCCGCCTGCCCTCGATCTCCTCGTCGGGATCCGTGGTGGCGTCGCTTTCGCCCTCGCTGTCTCCAGGCTTGTCCCCTGCCGCCTCCAGGCCGCCGACGTCGCCCATCGCCTTGGGCGCGGGTCGCTGAAGCCAGGTGGGCGCCCGCGCTGCATGTGGGCCGAGCGAGCGCCGCCGCCGCGCCAGCGGCGCCGCCTCCTCCTGGCTGGCGGCCCGTGCCCGCGGCGCGGGCGACAGCGCCGGCGAGCGCTTGGCAGGCCGCTCGGGCGCGCCCGGCGCGGGCGCGCTGCCGCCGCCCTGCCCCTGCGCCAGCAGCCGGCGGCCCGCGAGGGGCCCATCGCGAGGGCCCGCCGCCGGGCGGTCGGGACGCCACAGA